AACATTGTGTAAGCAAAATAAATCAAGACAATGGTAGTCCGAAATTCCTTTAGTTTCGATACTGAATCATTGTCTACCACATTTAAAGGAATAGGATTATTTGGACGGAAAACTAAATACTCCGAACCAATGGGAACCCCAACATCTTAAAATCAGAAATCTACTCTAGCGAAAGATGCGTACAGCTTACGTTAGATAAGAACTATCGTAGACAGGAAATAGCCATCTTATGCAGAGTTAAAAGTGATCAGCTCAGTACCCATCAATTCGAAATTGGTCAAAGAATGTGTTTTTTGTGTGCCTAATTTGTTCAGCTAGAGCTAGAGAAGCTAAACAAATTAGGCAAAGAAAATAAAGTCTTCTATTATGGGTCCCAGCATAATGAAAAAGCAAACGATCTATTGCTAGAAAAGGAGCGAACACTGGAAGAAAACCAGACCTTGCCTACAAGACCAGAAATCGGTGTGTTTTTATATTGATAATAAAATTGTGTTCCTCTGCGAGGCATCTTAATTATTTTTATTCGTTTTAAATTTAAATAGGCTCACTTGACAATAAAAGCAAATTTTCTTATCTTGGAGATAAAAATGCTCGTATCGATGTGTCTTATACAATGAACTTATTCGGCGAGATTATTATATATGTTGAAGCAAGAGAAACATTTATTATTCCATGTCAACAATAGAATCTAGAATTGTAGGCCTAGGTCTTTATCATTAGCGCAAACAATATGCAGTCTCATTTATTTTATAAGCCTCTTCTCGAAATTTGAATGTTAATGATTACATTACGATTTTTTAACAAATTACACTATCATAAATTTGTTTATTTATCGCTAGTAAACATTATTATCTGTTATACAGTTTATGTTTAACCAGTGGTTGAAATTTTTACTATTAGTGTCGTTACATTTCAATCATATTATTTAAAAAATTTTGTATATATTATATTATCTGATTATTCATTAAAGTATATATATATATATATATATATATATATATATATATATATATATATATATATATATATATATATATATATATATATATATATATATATAGAATGAAAAATAGTTTAGATATATTTTATAGAAATATATAATGCAGAATTGTTACCTTCATTTTTTTTAAAGTTCATTATCTATTTAATCGCAAGTGTTTTATCAGGCTAGTAAATTAATAAATTGTGAGTCTAAGTTGATGAAAATATTAAGTGTATTTACATCACTGAATTTTTCAACATCTTTTAAATACTTATCGATGTTACGGCTAAAATGGATACTTGGCTAGTTTTAAAACTAGCTAGCTATTTTGCAAACTAACTAAAAGCGCTGTTATTTTGAAGAAATCCTCCCATTCTTGCCAAATAGCAAGCAGCCAACGGCTAGTTTACAATCTACCTGGTTAGTTTGCAAACTAGACATAATATGTATATTCGTATTAGATAATGTCATAATTTTATATTTTTGTTTTCATATTAACCAGTTATTTTAGTTAATTTGTATAATAAGCATTTATAATTTTGGCTAATATGATAACGTTTTAGTCACCCAAAATAGCAAGATTCTTGGCTAGTTTACGAACTAAAATCCTTGCAATTTAAGAGTAAGATTATGCCTATATATTCTTTATATTGAAGAGCTTACTTGTGTTTCTGTGTTTGTACGCGTATTTATGAGATTTTCTCAAATTAAGGTGGGTTCAAGTAGTAAAATAAAATAAAAAATGAAGAAATTATTACTTCTAATATGGGAGCATTCAAACAGCCAAATAAAATAATAAATATACATTTGCAAATGAGCAATACGTTAAAATTGGAATGGTTTTCAGTTTAGTAGTTGTTTATAATAATTTTAGTATTTGCAGTGTACTTATTTATTCAACGGCAATGTACTTGTCTATTCATATTGAAATTATGCAATAAAATAAATCCAAATCCTGAAAGTAATTTATAGGTTAAAAATAAAAACTCTTATTATTATACCCTCTCACTTATTTTATTTTGTCTGTATAAATACAACTACCATGTTCGATATAACCAACTTATCTCTTATATTATTTTCTACTATTCTCATTTTATCTTATTTTATTTCTTTGACGTATCCATCCTTCCATGTGAATTTGATTTCGAAAAAATCCCAATCCTAACCAGATTTTCTAAATACTTTGCATACTAACCAGTTAAAATATAAACTAGCTGCGGTTGTCTGCTATTTTACAAGAACAGGCGGATTCTTTCAAAATAGCAGCGCTTCTAGTTAGTTTGCAAAATAGCTGGCTAGTTTTAAAACTAGCCAAGTATCCATTTTAGCCGTAACATTTATATTTTTATTAACATTATATTTACCTCAGTAACATATCCATAAGCACATGAGGACTTTTCATTTTATTTAACATAATAATGTAATCTAAAAATTGACGAAAATTTGTCCTAAAGCTCCCACCACACTTAACGTTTTACCTGTCAGTCATGTCTGTTCAGTCAAAACGGATCAAGTAAGACCTTGTATGTAGACTAAAAGATAGTTCGATTTACTTGAACTGAATTAAGTTTGACAACAAAACTGTCGTTTTGCCTACACTCTAGAAAATTGTATTAAGATTTTCGCAATTAGCTTTGCGTATTTACAAATGAAATTTAAACCACAACTACAACATTGTAAGAAAATTCACTAAACACAATGCTATAAATAACTTGATAAAACCTCAGATAAAACTTTTGGTATAATCAATAGCAATATTTGACTTTTTTATAATTATTGCAATCCAATTCAAAACACGCTCGGCTAAATTTAACTCAAAAGCAATTAATAACAAGTTCCCATATGATGCGGACGTTATCTGTAAACGCAGTACATAAAATATTAAGGTAGGTACAACAACAAATCAATATAAAAGGCTGGTTAATGTTACCATGTGTGAATATTGTATGTATTACAAGATAATAAATATTCCACAGTCTATTTTGAATGAGCTATACATGTATTTTTTAAGAATAATTCGGAATGGGTTTGTAACAAATGAACTTTTAATAAATTAATTAATTTATAGCAAATTAAGCATATCCACAAGTCCATGTCCAAGCAATAGTCAATAAAATATTGAAGCACAATTTTTCATACACTTAGATTTGGACAATAATTATTATTCTGTAATATACATAGATATACATTAAACGTTTGCACGAGGTTAAAGACACCTGTGCATAGTACTTTGTCTATATGAAAAACAATACTCAAAAAAATCTAATTGCCTTTTTTATCTTATCGCAATTTTGCGTACTTATAACATGCTGTGTGCTTTTGACTGGTCTATACTGGTACTGGTCGACAACTAAAAATCTCTAAGACACTTTTTTACATATTTTTATATTATAAATTTAAAATAAGACTTATTGATACATAAAATCAAGCATAATTTATTAGTGTTTCTATTTGTACAAACAGTAAGTTATTACACAAATAAAAGTGATAATTGATCATACGTAACAATTTATAAAATTGTATGTGTATTTGTTTTTATAAAAGTAATAAAACAAAGGGATATCAATTTATAATTTTAAATTAAAACGTTCGTTTTGATTAGATATGTAAAGAAAGCTTTAGTCATTATCTATTTACAATACACTGTTGTCATAACTTAGAGTCGATATAGATATTTTCATCAGTACAATTACTCGTGCATTTTGGCTAAAGTCTGTCCAATGAGAGAATACGTGACAGGAACATTTCTTGTCTACCGGTGTTATTAAAAAATGTATTTTCTGTTATTTTTTGGATGTCTGTCAAAATATTCCATTGTTTGTCAAAATATTCCATGTGTTTTTTCGAGATCTGTGGTATAATATTTTTACTATAATTACTCTCTGAATTCTGCTATACATTCAATATTTTATTACTTGTTGCTTTTCTAACAGTAAAAATAGATTCTTTTCGAATTTTTATATGGCACGAAAAACCTTTTTGTGAGTGCAAGTAATATTCAATACAATTTTTTTATTATCTTTACGCTCCCAGATTGTTGAAAGTGGTACTTTATCAGTATTTTTATACAGAACACTATAAAATCCAGTATATCTGTTCAAGTAATAAACCAATTGAATTGAGATTTTCTGACTAGTCAATCATACTATTGCTGGGACTCATGCATAAGTCCTTTAATTAAACACATGAAAAACACTTATTAATTATTAGTATCTCTAATATAAAATAGTCATAAAAAGTTTTTTTGTCATTAGAACTTGTTCTCCTCTACAAAACATCAGGCTTACTTAGTTGTTAAAGACCATCACAAGCATTCTTAATTTAAATGCGAACCTGGATTTTTTTTTGTTGCACTATGGCATTAAGCTCCTCATATCTGCAAAATAGAATTGTGATGTAAGTCATAGAGGAATCACGAATAGAGAAATACATAGGGTATTTCTTTGACCCCAATTTGTATAAAATAGTCCAACCAACATTTCAAACTAAAAAGGTTTGACTATTCCCCATCACATTTAGTGACCAACACGCTCTAGACCTAGACTAAATTTGGTCTTCAGTCTAATAAGTAGTTTTGGTCTTGGTCTTGGAGAATCCAGTCTTAGTCTTGCACTTTTTAAATAGATTTTTGCTAAAGGCACTTTCTACATAGAAAATCTTTATAAATAGTACCGTATGATCGAAAAAAACGGCGTCAAAGACGGCTGGGGAATGACAATCGATGATAATTTTGCCGAGATCAATCTCTACAAATCATTTACTAAAAATTTAAAAAAATAAATAATCTAAATCTGCTTTAAATAATAAATTTATTAAAATCAAAAAATCTATTTTTTTGATTTAAGAAGAACTTGCACCCTTTGCAAACTTTTGCACCCTGCCCAAGAGGGAAAAAATTGTTTTAAGGATTTTTATAAAAATCCTTTATTTATCATTAAAAATCTTGATTTAAAACAAGTAAACTAAGAAAATAAGTAACTGAAGAAACCATAAACTAAAGTAAATTATTTGTTTTCAGCTCCTCAACGACAAGAGCGACGATGACGATATCGAAGCGAAGACGGGCATGAAGAAGCCGAGCGAGCTTCTTCAGCAGCTCCTGAAAAAGGGTACGGACGATGACGACGACAAGAAGAACGACAACGGTCCCCAAGAGGACACGCTTCTGCGCAGTCTCGGCTTCCCGCCTGGATCGCCCGCGGAACGGCGAGGTTCCAAGAGATCCCTGGACGAGAAGGACGACAGGGATGCCAAGAGAGCCAACGACGGTTCGCAGGTAAGTTCAGACAGATTAGATTTTTGTGTGAGCGCTATTGGTCTGTTCCACCGCAACTTTTCATATCTATAGTGTTATTCTTCTAATCTCTAGGTTACATTCTCCAGTCCTATCCTATCCTTTTTAAAAAATATAACAACACAACTTACTAACGGACTGAACCCTCCATATCGCTCTGTCACTGGCATATCATTGCCTAATACAAAGAATCTCACATTTGCCAAGCTGTCGCACTAACATAAAATGTTCTTCTTCTTGTAATAGAACGAGGTTCTGTCAATTCTATCAATTGCCTTCTCGTGGCGTTGATGTTCCGCTGTCATACCAGCGTTTTGGGTGTCTACCAATGGGCGTCTTGTTTCTGGCTTTTGTGTTTTGGCCCACTTGGCAATTCGATCTAGCCCTATCCTATCTACGTGGTCTCTTCAACAGCGTCGCCTTGCTCTTACCCATCTGACAGCGTCCTGTAATTCCAACTCTCGTAGTGTGTCTATGTTGCGTATTCTTATTGTTGGTAATATTTTCATCTCCGTTGTTCTCATTTGTTTCTGATATGTCTACCCTTGTTTCAGCAGCAAAAATCAGTATGGGTCTTATAAATTCACGTTTTACTCTCTGTTTTTCCATATTATGTCACGTAAATACTCTGATATTCTTGAGGATTTTTTAATTTGATTGTCCACTTCTGTCATTACTCTTCTACTACACGATGTTTCTCTCTCTAAATAATCCAAACTCATCTGATTTATAATGCGCTCATTTACTACCATATTAACATAGATTGCATTTTTTTGCAGGAAATTTCATGATTCATTCTTCAGATGCATGTTAAGACTCAGGTGCCGCTAGATTAAATTTATATAGGAAGCGCTGTAGGTCGTCTTTTTTTTAGTAATCAGGATAGCATCTGCTTAACAAAGTACTCTCAGGTAACGGTTGTTCATCTTAAATCCTGTATTAACCTCACACCTTACTTATTATGTTAAAGAGACATGGGCTAACACTGTCTCCCTGACTGATACCAGATAAGACTTTGAGTTCCCTTGTTAAGCCATCTTCTGTTCGTATACTTGTTTTATTATTTATATTGAGCTACCTTAGTAAGTTTGGGTGATACTTGTTGGCACCTTATTGGTTTAATCGACACAAAATGTGTTCTTTCCTTTTTTCTTCAGATTAACAGAATCTGCACAAGGCTTCATCTGTCAATTCCATCAGCTTTAGATACCTATTCAGCTTACGTTCTTGCCCTGCTAGTAGACCCACTACAACAGTTTTTCTGTCTGTGCGTATCAGGTCTCCATAAATTTTGGTAAATATTCTACTATAAATTTTTTCACTTGTGAATCCTGGTGAATTTATCCACCATTCTAGAAATTTGTTGGGACTCCCACTGTTTTGCGGCAAATTTTGCGACTGCTTTTAGTGCCACTTGGCTATTTGTGAAGATGGTAAGAGAGTGCGTTTGTTCCTGCCTTATTATTTCTTCTACACAATAATTGAATGACCAGTATATCAGCCTGGAAAATTGTGACATCTTGGATATGCTTACGGTGAAGCTTTTCCTTATTTCGGCCTTACCAATCCAGCTTCTACACATTCCGACGTTGTTGAGTCATTTGTATAAAAGGTTGCCTCAGCTTGAATTAAAGAAAAATTAGTCGAACCAGACTACAGTAAAATGCACTTGTAACGTAGGTACATGTTTATGATGATTGTTCTCCCTAAGAAAAAAAGCAGGCCACCCACTAGAGGGCATATTGGGCAACATAGTTGCGAAGCATGTTGCTCAACATACTGCCTAGTGAGTGGGCGCTTGACTATGTAAATACGAATTTGAATTCAGAAAAATTAAATCTCACTGTAGTAGACGCTTTTGTTGAAATGAAGAATGATCTTGCTTAATCCAATATATCTACAGATGAAATTGTTGAACAGTTGGGACAAAGTGAACATCTAGATAATGCTAAACATAAAGAAGAACGTTTGATAATGAGATTGGAGGACTAAACAAATGTAAATTATTTTTTTAAAAATTAGAAACAATATAATATCGTATTTTGATAGGTTTATTAGAAATATATACCGTGTAGTACAATTCCGACCTGAACATTGAAAATCCTATGTAAATTTTAAAAACGATAAATGAGCAATAACTATAATTATGCGGCTATGGGTAATTAAATGCAAGAATAACTTTTTTGTTCACCACCCCCGAAAAAAAAACGGCGTCAGCGATGGCAATGAAATGAAGATCGCTGTCATTTTATAAGTAAAATTATATAGGGAACGTCATCGATCGTCTTTTCCAAGTCAACTGGATGCCGTTTTTTTTATCGATACTGCTTTATTTTTCTTGATAAAATAATGAATACTTACTTATTAAACTATTGTGGGTAAATTTAAGTAAAGTGTTATAAATCTAAATAATAATGTCCATAAACCAATGTCGATGTTGAAAATAGTTACTACAGTAAATTCAACCCCAAGATGCACCAAACGTAAACAGAGACATGAGGCAAGCACGTGAACAGGAACGCTGTATTAATATAACCAGGACCGCACTAAGGTCGGATATTTCAAATCATAAAATTGTTATGTATATTTTTATGATTTTTTAATATTGTTTATATTTTATGATGGACATTTATATTATATAAATAGGTAATTATTGGGAAAACTGGAAATCGTCCTATTTTCACCAAAATTGGTATACACCCTTTTTTGAGGTCGTAGATTACGAATCTGATCAAACCTAACCAACCAGAGGTCTCTTACTGTTTTTCAGAAAAATGGAAAATAATTTCAACATTGAATTTTTCTTTATTTCAGCCCTATAAAGTAATAATTTCACTATATTTTTATTATATAGGTCTCGTCTCCATAAATAAGTACAATGTAGTTCCCTTTTCTCCGTGCGGCGACCACACATTTTAAAGCCTAAACAAACAAATTTCAACATGCCCCTCGCTTCCCTGCTCCCTTACCTCATTACATGCCCTTGCATCATTTCTTATTCAGTCTTTTTTTGTGTGCGGTACGACCCACATCGAATATCGCGTAAAAGATATCGATCGGCTCTCGCCCGTAGAGCGGAGTGTTTTAGATTATCTTAAACGGATGGATAAGCGATTAAAGTTATTAGAAAATAAAAACATGCGTAAAAAGAAAAAGATTAGTGACAAGTTTGGAAGAGGAAAGTGTAACAAGTTTTGAGAGGCAGGCGAATAGTAGTGATTATTCGCAAGATTCTGAGGACGAGATTAGAAGCAGTGTTTGAGATGTTAGAAATAAAGGTAAATAAACATATAACATATACATATACAATACCTGAATAGTAGGGGGGAAATTTCTTCTAAGCTTGGGTATATAGGTATTGTGGGTGAATACCTTAGTGAATGCTTATATTATCTAGATTTTTCCACTTATGCTTATATTACACTAATATGGCAGAGTACGTTGGTGGTTACTCTAGCTTGGTTTATAGGACATTAAATTTATTCACGTTAATTGTAGCGGAGTACAGTGGTGGTTACTCTAGCTTGATGTGTAGGTATTGTTGGTGAATACCTCAGTGAATGCTTATATTACCTAGTTTTTTTCCCACTTATTACATTAATACAGCAGAGTACGTTGGTGGTTACTCTAGCTTGGCATATATGAATTATTGATGAATACTTATCGCATGGCTGTCTTATTATACTAATATGGCAGATTACGTTGGTGGTTACTCTAGCTTGGTTTATAGGACATTAAATTTATTCACGTTAATTGTAGCGGAGTACAGTGGTGGTTACTCTAGCTTGGTGGGTAGGTATTGTTGGTGAATACCTCAGTGAATGCTTATATTATCTAGTTTTTCCCACTTTTACAGTAATACAGCAGAGTACGTTGGTGGTTACTCTAGCTTGGTTTATAGGACATTAAATTTATTCACGTTAATTGTAGCGGAGTACAGTGGTGGTTACTCTAGCTTGGTGGGTATGTATTGTTGGTGAATACCTCAGTGAATGCTTATATTATCTAGTTTTTCCCACTTTTACAGTAATACAGCAGAGTACGTTGGTGGTTACTCTAGCTTGGTATATATGTATTATTGGTGAATATTTATCGCATGGCTGTCTTACTACAATAATATGGCAGAGTACGTTGGTGGTTACTCTAGCTTGGTTTATAGGACATTAAATTTATTCAAGTTAATTGTAGCGGAGTACAGTGGTGGTTACTCTAGCTTGGTGTGTAGGTATTGTTGGCGAATACCTCAGTGAATGCTTATATTACCTAGTTTTTCCCACTTATTACATTAATACAGCAGAGTACGTTGGTGGTTACTCTAGCTTGGTATATATGTATTATTGGTGAATACTTATCGCATGGCTGTCTTGCTTTTATTTTCAAAGTTGGTAGTCCCATAAGGGCACGTTGGTGGTTGCCCTTATGGAGTGACGTTTTGCTAAGCTAGCTGTATAAGATTTATAAACTCCTTAAGCATGAGTTAGCCCCAATATGTGTTTACATATCATGATATTTTCTTATAGGTGAAAGCGCTAGTACACTTATTAAAAAAGGTATTGAAAGAGCCTACCTAAACCTTTGTAGGAAGGTTTATTAGCGGTTTTAGGAGATAAGGTAGACGGGAAAAATACCACGACACCACCGATTCAACCGGAAATTGCAGAAAGATGGATACACATTGCAAAAACCGGCCTTGAAGAACCCGTTCTTAACCTATTAATGGAGAAGTACCCCTCTCCAGAGAACGCCACCACCATAGTTAAATTTAATGCGGAAACAGGCCATACATGATAATGTGGAGTGCAGAGATGAAATTGGCTAAAATTCAATCAAGATTAGCAGCCAGTTTGTCGGCTATAGGCCAAGTAATGGCAAAAATTTTAGAGGAAAAAGGAGGGGGGGGAGAAAGGAATATAAAGCATTATATAGAGACCCTAAACGACACAGAACGTCTTATAACTGGTGTTATCCATTCCGAGTCAATA